AAAAAAAAAAAAAAAAAATAGTTTATATGGTGATGCGCAAAAATCGTTATAGTTTGGATGAGATTTTTTTTACTCATATTTATATTTAATGTGCCTTTCCTTTTTATAGTCAATTAGTAAACGATGAGAATAAAACTAATTATTTTTTTTCTATAATCCTTTATTATTAATTAAATAATAAATAAATTATTTTAATTAGAAATCTTTCTAATTAGCACTGGTCACAATATAACATATATATAAATAATTTTTATCAATAATATAAAAGTGATTATTTATTATGAAACAAAATAGATGAGTTAAAATAATGAATTAGCGGATCGCCTCTTCAAACATTATTAGTATTTGATCATTTGCACATGCACAAAAAAAAAATTATATATTATATGTAGGTATATGATATTTAAAACTTTAGACAAAATGTGTATTACATTTTAAAATTTCGACTTTATAATGTAAATATAAATTATTTAACTACCATATAAATCAATTTTTTTCTTTTTTTCTTTTTTTTTTATTACATAACTATAATACAAAATAAGAATATTAGTTGTAAAATAATTTGATATTGCATTCAGAAAATTTAAAATTTTGTAAGGCTGTTACAAAATAAGAAATTTAAAATAATAAGGTTCACGTGTGTAAATGTTATTTGAATGCTAGCCATAAAGATCTACTATTATAAAAAGAGACAATCCAAAAAAACTCTAAAATAGTAACTAAAAAATAATTAGGAATCCCCCCAAAATATTTACTAAACATTGTAATATATTATTATTATTATTTTTTTTTTGTACGAAAAAGGAGGCCGAAGCCTGATAGTGACTAGACCAACACCCTACGTGGGTGAGCCACGCCTAAGTTATCATGACTCAGCCAATGGCCGAGTTCCTGCGGCGGGAAAGTAAGATGATGTAATCCAACTGGAACTCCAGTCGCTAATGCCGCTAACTTATCAGCGCAAAATTTCCTTCCCAATAAATGCCGCTAGCTTATCAGTCGGATTAGCTTATCACTATTACAGATTAAACTCGGGTTGGTTGTGCACGCACAACCAAGGGCCCACTAATCTACTTACAAGGAAAAAATAACATATATCCTTAATATATTTAATGTTATTATTAGATGATGTGTATTAGTTGCTATTTGATAACCTTGTATTAGTTGTTATTTTATCTTTTAGCACTTTTAGTTCATTTAGCAACAGTATAAATATGACTTCCCTACTG